ATCAGCTAACAACTATCCACAACTGTACAAAAACCAAGTTAAAAACCAGCTACACTCTAGTACCGAGTCACCATTTTTAACCTGGTTTTTGTACAGTTGTGGATAGTTGTTAGCTGATGGTAGGTGATCAAAACTCGAGTTTGTACATAATAAAGGTGTTGAAGTCACAAAAATGAAACAAAGAGCTCGGAGTTTAACTTGCACCACCACAGTGTCACACTGCGTTTTTCTCTCTGTACGAAAAGTGCAACAACTCTTTGAGGGGGAAGCGATAGGGGTCTGAAACTTTCAGGGTATAACGAGGACCCCTAGCCCCACGACCAAAAAACATTTCAGTCCTCTACGACTTTCCTGGACGAAACGGCAATTTCTTTCATTCTGTCTGATTTCCGCTGGGAAAACGCGTAAAATGCCCGTAACTCCCCAGGAGAAAAGTCTCCGCCCGAACCCTCTTAGACTTTTTACCCCCACCCGATGCCCTGTCGAATCACGCAAGAACGAATGAAAAAGGAGCACTTCACCTCGGGATGTTCCCTCGTGAGTGGTTAGCATATAATCGTAAATGTATGGAAACTTCAGCACATAAGTATACGCCTAAAAATTTTTTATACTGATGCTAATTCTTTACAACGTAAATCTCCATTTCAGTCTTATTAGTAAACACTGGGCAAAAGTTCGGAGCCTATTCCCTGTAGACACTATCAGCATTGCACAAATATTGTGATAGCGAGATATAATTTCATTTGATTTCAGAAATCTAGTGACAATGTTCCTCGCACTCACATTGTGGGCATTTTTCTAATAGCAAGCAGACATCAAAATGTTTTGCTTGTAAACCATTTTTTCATGAATAATTATCATTGCTTAGTTAAAAGAAATAACCGTCGTTTTGAAAAATCAGTTTTTCAGGTATCCGAAAAGTTTCGATGGATAGTTATTCGACCCAAAACTTGTTGTGTTATACATGATTCGATGCAACTCGGTGGACCGATTCCGAATAGAATCATATTTTTTCTTAGAAGTGCTGCTGAAATATCAGGGTCTTTTTAGAAAACTTCGGTTTTTATGCTTTGAAAGTAAGCATATTGTTGTATGTTTTACTGCCTCCGAAGCTGCAAAATTTGTACTTTCGATCTGTTGTCCTTCTGGATACTCACTTTGCCCCACCACTTTTCCCGCTGCATCCATCCGCATGTATCTCTATTACATCTCTGTCGGAAAGAAAAAGATCGTTCAATACATCCAGGCTTAAGTTACATTTGTGCTCAGGTCCTATCCTGTAACAATATGTAATATTTTTTTCACTCTTGATCAGATAATGATTATCATTTTATATTCAATATAAAACGATAATCATAATTAGCTGAAGGTTTCCTGTTTCAAGTGACTTGAAACATGAAACTTTCAGCTACGCGTTGAAAGCAAAATTTCAGAAGTTATCTACCCACTGGTTGAAGACATAAATCTAAAGCATGAACAGAATACTTTTGAACATCTCTTTTTGCTACTTTTTTGATGTCTCTTGAGCGTTGTTTAAAAAGAAAAATGATAGCTCATCGCACGATCTTTGGATAAAGTTAATTAAAAAAGGGTTACTTTGTGGTCAATTTAAGTAGATGCCGCAATCGATCTTATTGTCAAAAGTCTTTTCATATAGTTGTCCGCTGTTTGTAATCCCATCTAGCGAAAATTTCATAATATTTTAGTCTGACCGCAATAATGACGAACGACGACGGAACAATAGATATATGGGGTGGACTATATAAATTCACCGAGAATGTGGCGAGCTCCGAAAAACCAGTCCGTCCGTTTTATGTTCCCAGTGAATTGCCTCTGACTATTGCGTCGGTCTTATATCGGTGGAATCAGAGTGTCCTACCAAATGATTGTTCCATAGCTGTCTGTCCTTGTGACATTGAATCTGTTACTAAAATGTGGCACCACACTTGGGGACCGAGTCATGTGGAGCAACCTACTCGTCTTCAACAACTGTACGAAGCACTGGACAAAGACCTCTGGGAAAAAGGATTTCGGTGGCAAACAATCTCGGGTCGATCATTGACGGATTCAGAACTTTCTCTGGTGCACAGCTCCGAGTTTTTGAACGATTTTCTAGCAATTGAACAAGGCAAAGATTTGTCTCACACAAACGCTCTGCTGAACTTCACCTATGCAAATCCTGATTTTTCTTTCTGCAGCGTTGGTCCGTATATCACAAGCGCCTGTCGCGTGGCAGCAGGATCAGTATTAGCACTTACAAAACTTGCTATCTCAGGCAGAATTCAACATGGATTTGCGCTTGTGAGACCAGCCGGACATCATAGTCAGTCAGATAAGAGTGGTACTTTTTGCGGATTAAACAATGTTGCAATAGCCTGCATCGCTGCATTATCCTGGGGAGCCAAGAAAGTGTTGGTCGTTGATCTAGACGTCCATCGAAGTGTTGGTACAGAAGAAATATTCTCTCGATTAGAAAAAGAAAATCGTATAACTGTCGAAAGGCTGCTGTTAATCGATATATATGCTACTTTTGGTGGATCACACAAAGCGCAGGGGCCTACAATTCTAGTTCCATTAATGGATGAGAAAGAAATTGGTGATCAACAATATTTCGATGCATTTGAACGTGTTGTTCTACCTAAAGCGAAAGAGTTTAATCCAGATCTTGTTTTGGTGTCAGCTGGCTTTGATGCGGCAAAAGGCGATGCTGAAGGTTTCCAAGTAACTCCCCGTGGATACCAAGAACTAACGATGCAATTGCGATTACTTGGTAGTCCCATGATCTATGTCCTTGAGGGCGGCTATGATCTTAGCTCCCTCTGTTCATCAGCTGTTGCTTGCATGAACTCGCTGCTAAGTCCAATACCGAGATGAAGACAAGGAAGGCAACAGCGATAGACATTTAGAATATAGCAAGATAAAGCGTTAAATGCGGCACTCGTTTCAAAACGGAACAGAGCAGCATCCATATCGTCAGAAAAAAACAATCGTGGACCTAATTGACTACAGAGAATAACCGTTGAAGGTATAAAATATTCACGATGTTGTAAATTTGTATACACCAGGCACGCCAACATGCCATGTCGTTCGTAGATAAATAAATGTTTCGTCGTGTAATGCTAATGTTAAAATAGTTACTCAAAAATGAAGAAAATATGTACTACAGATTGGTCATGTATTGAAAAATGCAACTACACGTTTTATCTTCTGCGTCGACTTAAACATATTTTGAGTACATCCGCTCTCGATCAGATATTTAAAGCATACATTCTGCCCGCAGTCACTTATACTGCCGACGTTTATGCTCTTCTCAAACAAATTCATTCCAAAGCAATCTTCATTGATACAATTCCGTCTTATCTGAGACCTATATGACTGAGACCTTATGACTTGCAGTATTTCACATCTCTGACTGTTAGTGGAGCAATGTATTTATCATAAAGAGAAAAATTTCTTAAAATTTTAGGTTGATTTCCATTAGAACACATCTATACAATTAATAAAATAATTATTTTCTTCAAAATAAAAAACGATCTTACACTCACTTTTCTTGCTAGACGTATTCCTGAACAACTAATTGTCATTACATCTTTACATTCAAGAGAGACAGGTCATATTTTTTTTCGTACTCGCACAGAAAAATTCAAAAATACTGTTTTTCTTGGGTTGTGAAACAATGGAACTTATTGCCTTTCGAACTGCAAAAAGTAATAAAATTAAAAAAATTTCTAACAAAAATTCATGATTTCTTTTTTCCAAATTATAAGTGGCCATGTTTTAAATTCAGTGAGCGTAAATTTGATTGCATTCTAAATCAAGTGAGAGTCAATTTATCTCAACTAAATTATGATCTTTTCAAACACATTTGAGTACTAGTCTCTTGTGGAAAAATAAAGTCACTCAAACATTTTCTGTTGGAATGTCCAGGATATCAACGACAAACACTTATTTCTGACTTATCATCTGTAGCTCCTGCTATCTCCTTTACATCAGAAAATGTACTATTTTTAAAAAAATTTGATAATCTAGCTAATAGACATCTAACACGAGAATATTAGTCTAGACTAACTCTTATATCAACCATACAATCCTCTTGAAAGTCAGCGTATAAGGCTTTTAACTCATGCTCTTTCTTTTGTCTAGCGGTTTTCTATGGTAAAATTGTACCAGGCATCAACTTTTATACTATTTCATTGTAAAAACCCTTCTCAAAAAAAGTCTGAGAAGGAAGTTGTTCAGAAAATCGAGGTACATGCCGGTAGCAGTACCGCATGCCAGAATCTTTTGAAACTGTGAGTTTATGTTTTTTCTCATTGGTAAAACGCCAGTAAAATTTAAAAAAATTTGTTCTGGCATTTAAATTCGTTAACCAGTGATGAAACTCAATGCAAATATGCATCTCGATGTGCTCTACCGAATGGCGTTAGAATTAGGTTTCTAGCTTGAAAACTCAAGATTTTACAAATAAATTAAAAGATGAATACTCAAGCTGCTAAAAGTACAAGTTAGACAATATATATGCTTTTTCATAGATTTCGATTACAACAGATTGATTGAAGAAGTACGACACACAATAAATTTCATTATAACTCAATTACATTAAAAGAGAAAAAATTAATTTATATATGGTAATGATCGTAGAAATAACTCCAGATTCGTCTTAAACCATGTCCGTGGTTGCTTGTTCAGAAATCAGATACCCTATAGAAATGTTGTTGCCTAACTTTATATGCCTTAATCATATTACTTGAAAGTCATGAATAACTTCGTTCACTTTTGTCATTGACACCAACAACATACCAATCGGACCAGGCGTCTAAGAATCATTGTAATTTGAATGCCACAATATTGTCATATTTGATTACACAGTCAATATGCATATCCAAATCATCACGTCTATTCCGCAATAAATTCCTGTCCGGCGCCGGATTTGTTACTTCAAAACATGATGCTTGGAATATAGGTCCTTTTTAGTCATTCGGTGTTTCACGTATTTGCTAACAAAATCGTATAGACATTCCGCATTCAGTTCATTTGGCCGAGTCTGATAGGCAATTCGTGTATTAACTAATACATATTTATCACTCTCATCTTTTCCTTTCTCACTTATGAATTGTTCTTCGATTTTTTGCTCAGCATTCACAGTGGAGTTAGGGTCACTATAATCGTCGAAGTCGTTTTCCTCGTCATTATCTTCGTTACGATCTAGATATATATAGAAATAAGTAAATATACGTTAGAAATTTTAGGAGAGCAGTACCTTGAAAAACCTACCTTCTTCCACGTCTTCATTAGTACGCTTTCTTTCGCTATCTAAGCATTCTTGCAAATAGCGTTCAATACCAATTAAGAATACAGTTGTAAATTTGTTGAATTTGTAGTTATCAGGCCAATTCATAAGATATGAAGCCACCTGCGCACTAAATAGTTCTCTCTGACCTACTAGTGTATTGTAGCAACGTAAAACTAATTTTCGCGATTTTTCGAATACATCATCGTAAATAATTCGGTGCTTTTCGATCTTAGTACGCTTGTATTAGTACGTTGTAAATACGCTTTGTATACCAACGACACAGTATCATGGTATGTCATGTCTGCTTTCGTAATGTAATCAGTGCAATAGTACACAAGTGCTTTTGCATCTAGACTAGATCAGATAAATTTAATATCCGTATTAGATCGGCATTCTGCTATCAACACATCATTGAAATTATTCACCATTTCATGACTTCTTTTCATCTGGACCTCACCAGTGTCAATGGTGATACATGATTGAGGGATTAATTTTCGTGGAAGTCGCATACGACATATTCTTTTACCATTTTTCATGTACTTATAGCAGGTGTACGTATGTTTGTGAATACTTACTAAACGAACTAATCTGCTTTTCTTCTGTGGCTAAAAACATGCAGAGTTTCGATAGCAAGACAAATTCTTATTCGGGACTAGCAGTTACCTTCAATAATGTTCGAGTGATCTATTGATTCTATTGTTGAGAAGCTAATGGAACTGGACATCGCATTTTGCAAAATCAATCTGTATCAGTGGAATATAGCAGCACTTCAGTTCACATAAATTTAGCAAAGGAGCACTATACCCAAACGACGTATCAGCGACATCAGACATGTGTGATAGGTGTCTATATTGAACTAGTAGAAAACTTCGTAGACTTTGGTCTGAAACTATTATTCAGTATAATTATATCTAAAATTTACAAAAACCAAGGTTAGAAATACATACAGTCAGAAAGACATAATCTTTACAATGTGCTCTTTTAATGTAGGCAAGATAATGGTGTATTTTTATTGAAAAAAGAACAAATATATGCAAAACCTTCAGTTTATTTGAAAATTTTGACAGCTACAGTTGGAATTTTGTGACGGAGGTTTAGCTACCCAAAATAGGAGGCCTTTGTAGACCAAACATTTTAAGGAATTTTGGTAAAAGGCGCAAATCAAAAAGTTGTATCGTTGCTGAGATATTGATATTTTACGAAAAGCCCTGAAAACCGTAGATTCCGCCATCTTG